GAGGGGGGGAGAGAGGGGGTGGGGAGGAGGAGAGGGGTCAGGGAGAGGGAGAGGGAGAGGGGAGGGGGAGAGGTTGGGAGGAGAAATACATACATCAACACATTGTCACGTGTGACCTAATTAAAACATAATATACATCAACGCATGTGTGACTTAATTTGAACAAAAAGAGCAGCAGACACTATAACCTCACTAGAAAACATACTATATCAAAACTTGTGTGACCTAATTAAAATATAAACATCGACAAAAAATGAAAATAAATGAAGGATCCAAGTGGCAGAAATTTAAAAAAAACTGCTAGGTCATTTATTACGTATAGATTAGATTGATTGGCCGGGATGTGGTAGACTTTTGCAATAACTACTAACAGCCAGGCGATACCATAGACCAGCTGAATTGCCGAGGCATAATTAAAAAAGAATTAACCCTTTGAAGAGGAAGATTGCGGGCGGTTTTTGCTCCTTCTTTCCTATCGTCCTTGTCTCTCCCCCTTCTTTTTTGTGTTAGTTACTCTCTTGTAACACCTCTAATCTTCGTCACGTATATGACCTTATTGTGTTGCAAGTGCCGTAAAACACTTACTAAAACGGAAGACAAAAATTCTATTTATTCGTCAAAGCTTGAAGACGATCTGTTTAGAAGTAGAACTTCTTTATTTATGCAGATTTTCCTGTTGAAAAAAATATCTGAAGCTTTTCAAAATGGCAGACAAACACGTGCATGCTGTAGAAGTACGTATGCAAAATTGTGTTTCTGATTTGAGTAGTGCATTTCAAAATGTGACACAGCGTGGCGTTTGGTATGCTTCGGACCTAATTTGTGTCAAATGTGTGTCACGACACGGTGGAATCAGGCGCTCGTCAACTTTGGGGGAAATGGAGTTATTGGTAGCTTCTGAAGTATTTTTTATTTGTCTTGATTTGTATGTAGTTATAGGCCTACCCTTCTATCATAAATAAAAGTTAATGTATTTGCTATTGACGAAGATGAGGGTCACTGCGTGTCATAAGTAAAATGATTGTGGCGTCGGTGGCCTAGTGGTTAGGATCTCGGACTCGCAACCGTAAGGTCGTGGGTTCGAATCCCATCAGGGGCCCGACGTTGTGTCCTTGGGAAAGGCACTTTGCACAAATTTTCCTCACTTCACCCGGTTATAGACAGTGAACGATCTTGTCAGTTTGATAGTGTTTGAGCGCGTGAAATCCGCAGCT